AAAAAAAAAAAAAAAAAAAAAAAAAACTATTTAAATAGCTATTGGATTTTTTTTGTCAGACACGTGTAATAAAGTGTGCATGTCAGGTTCTACGTAATTTTATTAACTGGATATCATTGCTATGCTCTTTGGCATTAAAAGTTTGTCTTGAATATCATTTCTTTATGCTCACTTTTTGGGACTTGGATATTGTTGTTTCTTTTTATTGGGAACTGTTCTACATTTTTTTCTTCTTTTTTTGACGATAAAGGAAAGTGGCTTGGGAGTCGACAGATTAGGTGTAATTGGGCTACAAAAGGTGCTAGCTCGGGCGATGACAAACAGAGTTCAGATTCCAGAAGTGTTGTAGAGCTTACAACTGGGACTTCAGGTATTTCATCTAGAAATGTATATGTATATATATGTTTTTATCATTCATCTAGAGGTTTTTAGATTTAATAATCTTCCTAGAATTCTTTTATTTAGCTTTTCAAACTTTATAGTGATTGTTGCAAATCTTCTAACATTTCTATACGCTGATAGTTTTGGCTGTTGAATAGGGAGCCTTTTCTTCTTGGTTTTCCAGGCCCGAGGTTATTTATGTCGATCTATACTTTCACTCTTAACCTTTGACTTGTTCTTGCTAGTTCTTTCTCTAGTTCTATCTGGCTCGTGCATTCGAACACTTGGCCATAGTATATCTAATTAAACATACATTTTTCTGGATCTTGTCTAACAAGAGACATATCTTCATGAATGTCTTGACTTTCAGGTCTGTATCTTGCTTATCTACATTGAATAATCATTCCAAAATCAACTTAACATAATTTTTCTTCTAGAGGCTTGTGCCCATGGAAATTTGATCCTAGGCTTGTCATAAGGAAGCCGTTGGATTTAACCTGACAGTTGGTGTTTAAATCCCTTAAATATCACCATGAAGAAATACATTTTAAATATTAAGTTGATGCAAGAGCTAATGAAGGATTAGTTCGAATGAAATGAATAATTTGATAGAATCAATTTAGCAATTGGAGAAAAAAGTATAAGAATAGTCAACTCCATAAGTTTGTGTAGCTTTTAGCAGCAAGACAAGTTTTCAACCAAGCTACCGATCTGACTTTTTTGTGTCTCTAACTTTGTAATCCCTTAGATTTCTATTTGGTAATTTTGAAGGTTGTACTGTGCTTAGTTTAAGTTTTGGGGGATTCTTTTTGTTATAATCTCTTTAGAAAGTTGGTAGTTTGTAACTTTTCTAATAACCATGAAATGTTTGTATTTCTTCTTGTTAAAAAAGACTTGGTAAATATAGTACAGATGATGAACTACATAAGACTGAGTTTATGTTACATAGAGAATTAACAAATCCACTTTTTGTCTCTAACTTCCTAATCCCAAGTTAAACAAAATTAACCTGGATTTAAACCACCTCTAAATTTTAAGTACCTTATGAATTTCTTAACTACCGATGTTGTTCTGATCTCTAATTTTGAGTGTTGAGTGTGACGAATAATTCAAAATTGATTAAATTTTCTGGTTAATTTTGATCAATACAACACATGTAGGAGTGAATAATCGAACCTACAATCTCTCTGAGGAAGTAGGGATGTCTTATCCATTGAGCTATGTGCACGTTAATCAACTTTTTGTTATTGATATATAATGAGTCCTTTTATATGGAATTGTGGTCAGTGAGTGTTTTTCCTTGCTCGGGCCTTTTATTTTTGCTATCACTGCTCTCAGAAAACTGCATCCCTTTGATGAGGGACATTTATATTTTTGCTTCATTACTTTTAGTTTCACCATTTTGTCATGCCTCTTTTTGCAGAGGGTGGCCAAGAGAAATCCAATGAGGAGGCACCTGAGAACAATCCTCAATACACAACCGTATATGTGGGAAATCTTGCTCCGGAGGCAAGGAAATTCTTTTGATAATATAACAGTAACTAATATGTTAATAGTAGTTGTTGAAACAGCTAACTTGGGTGAACCTGCAACTGGATGGCTTGTCAAAGTTCTCTGCCATCTCTAAAAGCATAGGCATGATGGTGATGAGTTTCTAAAATTTATCTAAGAAAGTTTGGCTTGTATCTTTTGTTCGCTTCTTATATGGCCTTTTTGTGGATAGTTGTATTCTTTTATTTATTTTTTGATGAAAGCATGATCTTCAGAATTTATATATCTAATGTGTTGTACAAGCAATCCTTCATTTCTCGATTAAAACCTGAATTAAAAACATGTCAGTTTTGTTATGTGATAGCATGATTATTTTATTATTGCATCATTTTCAGTGTTTATGACTCTTCAGGTTACTTCAGTTGATCTCCACCGTTATTTTCACACCCTTGGTGCCGGGACAATTGAAGATGTTAGGGTACAACGGGACAAAGGTTTTGGGTTTGTGAGATATGGCACTCATGCTGAAGCAGCTTTAGCCATTCAAATGGGCAATGCTCGAGTTGTCTGTGGCAAACCAATTAAGGTACAACCTTAATGAAAAATGTACAATTTTATCCTACTTGAATGTTAATTAATCATCATTTGATCTAGTTCTCAGAGCCAATATATATTTCAACTTGGTTATTTCGGATGGACAATTTGTGTCGAGTGAAAGAGACTAACTGCGAAAATTAGTGCGGGTTAATGTTTTTGCGTGAGTGTTTAGGACTTGAATTTTCATTTATCCACTTAATGTTTTTGTAATCAAATGATGCAGTGTTCGTGGGGTAGCAAGCCAACCCCGCCAGGGACTAATTCTGCCCCTCTTCCACCACCAAATGTGGGACACATGCCAGGTCTGTCTGCCGCCGACCTTGCTGCCTATGAACGGCAAATGGCGTTGAGCAAAATGGGTGCAGCACGAGCGCTAATGCATCCGCAGGCGGCTCAGCATGCCCTCAAGCAGGCAGCCATGGGAATGGGGATTGGAATTGGGATTGGTGGTGCTGGCACTAGTCAAACTTTATATGATAGTGGGTTCCAAAATATTGCAACCACCCAACAGCTGATGTATTACTAGGTGTATTTGAATTGCTGTATGATGCATGCTTGTAGTTGTTTTGTGGAACCAAAGAAAGTGTTACGTTCTGGGGATTGTGATGCAAGTACTATATAGCCTGGTGGTGGGGGGGTTTGATTGCAAAGTCATTTTAATTTGTTACTTTTACATTGTTGGTCTAGTTTGTAATATCCTGCTAGAAAAAAAATATGGTGCCACATCTGGAAATAAGCTCCAATCCTTCAATCTCCTTGGCCCTCTTCACATTTTTTTTTCCTGGAAGGATTAGTTCTTTGACTAAATATATTGATTGCTGAATATTGAATAGAGGATGTGAGAAGGATGAAAATAGATTATTGAATCTTTTGTCTTTGGCTGTTGGTTGTTACGGTGAGGCAATTGCAATTCGCACCACATTTCTTTTCCTTCTTTTCCTGCTTTTCCTTCTTTTCCTTCTTTTCCTAAACCATCCACTCAGATTACAAATTTGGATCGCAGTTAAGGGGCAGCATAGATTGAAGCTCACCATCACATCTCACCCAGGGGATGTTGAGATATTTTGGAATATAAATGACATTTGTGTTGCAACTTACACGAACAAAGTGGGTCTAGCTGTGTTCACTTTCAAGCTTGGGTAGCTATCATATTGGTGCTCACAATAGCTTTAAACTAAATCAACTTCATGATATGCTTCAGGCCGTCTAGCCTGCACTCATGAACACAGCATCCATGTCAGTCTCCGGTATCTTTGACATTCACCTGAGTTTCTACTTCCCAAAGCCCTCACCTCAGGAGCTGATCCAAACCTTTTTGGAATGTTCCAACAAATTTTAATCAAGAATAGCAAACCCAGATGCCAGGAGACATGATGATCAGTTATACACCGAGCTCCAGAAACCTCATCAATTGAACGAGGCAGCCGAGTTGTCATCATACTGCCCTCTCCATGCGTTTCCACTGTCCGTCCCGCTGCAAGCTTGATTGGGAGCCTGAATGTGACCCAAATTTCCATTTAAACTCATCTGCTGTACTTCAGAAGATGATAGGATCTTTATGCTCTGAACACAGCTCACAAACTCCCTGTGCAATCAGTTGGTAAATGGAGTATTAAGACAAGAAAAGGCGGCGGGAAAAGATTTAAAATATTATACTAATTTATACTTACTCCCAAGGATCATCGCCAACTAGAAGTATATCATTTTCATGATCCACATAAACAAGTTTCCAATCAGTTCGTTGAGGATCTTCTAACTGCCCTTCAATACCAAACATTCGGGCAAGATCATGCCTAAGCTCGTCATATCCTTTGTAACGAGTGACATCGATGCATCTACCCACTGATCCACGCTTTTGAACCTTCATAATTTTAGCAGTTTTAGTTTCAATCCGATCTCAAAACATCTCAAACAAGTATTGAAGTTTAAAACACCGAATCCCAACATTACTATGATAAAACAGTGGTCGTCATTTAAACGGGAATTGGATCTAGCATGCTATAATACCCTAGAGAGTAATATCGTTCTACAAATAAATAAACAAAATATGAAGGAAAACGTAGCACTGGTAGAGGTTCAAAATTGATATCATCTAAATAAGAAACGGAAACCAGTATTAAACAATCAAGACCAATTCTAATCAATGCTATCATTTACTATTCGCCTGGGATACTAGAGAAACTAGACATAAAGTGGGAAGTCAAACCTTTGTGTATGTCCGCATTCGTTGACTGTGATTTGCCCACAATCCACTACTTAAGGCTCCAGCTTCATTGACGTTGACATCATTCGAGCAGCCAGGCTTGAAGGGCAAGTTTGGAACCCCAAATGACTGCGAGCGGATTGCAGCAGTGGACAACTCTGTCTCAATATCTCTTGGCACACCCCCCTCGTAGTTCGAAAGTAAGTTCTGAAGATCTTTTTGAGAGTCGTATCCCCTCGACAATAAGGTATCTGGAGCCCATCCATCAATGCTATTACTGAAGGGGATGTTGGTTTGTGGGTGTGATTGGACATCGTTATCCAAACATGTAGGGAGTGGGAAAGTCTGCTGAATGGTGCCAGCATCCAGACAATATGATGTTCCAGAAGAAGATGCTTCTACCTGATCGGGAACGGTGCCTTTATATTTCAGTTGGTCCAATCCTTTTGAGTTAGGAAACTCGGGTTTGTTCCGCAAATCAGGTTTGCTTGGCAGCTCCTGAGGCAGGTTAGTTGCAGGCTCAACTACCAAATCTCCCCCCAGTGTGGCTGCTCCTTGTTGATTCTTATTGAGCAGGTTTGATACTGAAACTTGGCAATTATTAGTGGAAGGCGAGGTTGAACAAGACGGAGCATCACCATCAGTCAGTCCAGAATATCCCCTAATTGCCGTGGTTGGTTTGAATTGGTTATGGGATTGGGTTATAGGAACCTGCTGGGACTGCATCAGACCTAAACTTGAGAAGCCATTGCTGTTATGTTTTTCTGTTTGGAAGCTGCCTCCACTAGTGTTGAACTGTGGCTGATTGGACAAAGGCAAGGGTGGTAACTGCTGGTTTTGCTGATGCACAGGATGCGGCTGTATCATTTGAGGTGGAAATAGCGGGCTAGCTGGGGAGACCAACGGTTGCTGCTGTTGCTGTTGCTGTTGCTGTTGTTGCAGCTTCTGTAGCAGCTGCCATTGCAGTTGTTGCTCTGAAGGGATTATTGGCTGTGAAAATTGCTGAACTTGTGGCTGTTGTTGTGTTCTTTGAGACAGACTTTGTTGCAATAATTGCAGTGGGGCCTGTTGAAATTGTGTCTGCTGATGGTGTTTCGAAACAAGGGTAGGCTGCTGATCTATTTGTGGCTGAAACTGTGTTTCCTGCAATAAAGATGTCGTCTCAATCGAGTTTTTATTGGATGGTTGGCTAGTTTGATGTGATTGTACATTTCCCGCAAGCAATTGCTGTTGCTGTTGCTGTAGCTGAGAGTATACAAGTGGTTGTTGCAAACTCTGATTTGACAAATGGTTTGCACCACCAACACCATTGTTCGGAAGAGCGGATTGGGAGGTCTGTTGTTGTTGTTGCGACTGCTTCGGCTGCTGCTGCTGCTGTCGTAGTTCCGGCTGGGGTGGCAACTGCTGCAGCTGCTGCTGTTGAGACCACGACGTTGCTGGCAACTGGCCAACTTGGTTCTGTTGATTTGCCTTGCTGAATTGGAGATTTGATGACGACATTACTGGAGCTTGAAAACACAATAATTTAGATGGATCATCGTTGGTTAAAGTTCCATGCAAAGCACTAGGAGCAACCATGGACGGCAAAATTCCAGATTGAGCTGCTGGGAACTGACTATTATGTTGCATGCTCATCCACTGCACTAAACTTAAACCCGGGAAGATCGAGCTTGGTGTATCTTTCATGCCAAAGTCGTCACCGAACCACGGCATGGCTCTCTTGAAAGCATTTTCAATATCAGATTCATCATCTGCAAAAATGATGTGAAGGTCACTACAACATATTATTGCTGCTTTCTATTCACTCAAACACATGGTTCCTAGGAAATTATTGTAGGTTTCAATTACCTGGCATCCCTGGTTGTTTAGGGAATTTGGGTCTGAAAAATGGAGGTGGACATATGTAGAACGGGGTCACAACCGGCTCAACTTCCCATATAGAAACTCGGCTCGGTCGTTCACCAGCTGCCGATTCATCCCATCCAACCTTCGGTAAGTACATATAATTGGTAAGCAACAGAAGCAGGCCATTAACAATCATGGATGAGAATCACAACACATTTTTAAATATCTTCCAAGATGCCCTCTGCAACGACCCAAGTCCACCGCTAGCAGATATTGTCCTCTTTGGGCTTTCCCTTTCGGGTTTTCCTTCAAGGTTTTTAAAACGCGTCTGCTAGGTAGAGGTTTCCATACCCTTATAAAGGGTGTTTCGTTCTCCTCCCCAACCAACGTGGGATCTCACACCCTCTTACAATAGAAGTATTCCGTTCCATATAACATGAATTATATAATTTTAGTTTTGTATAATTTATTAATAGTACCTGAAGATTGCGCCACTGTGAATTTTTCCATCGTACAGAATCCATGTCACTGATACCAGTAATTGTACCCATATATCTGCGTACTCCCGACTCCTCAGTTTCAAACATCATCCTAAATCGCATGCCAAGCGAAACTTGTGTGTACATTGCTTTCGTATACTTGGCCAAAGGAATGACAAATTCAGAAGGACTGGCCCTGAAAACCTCACGAAATGATCATCGATGCTGAAACTGAAATCATACGGAATTTTAAAAACGAATCAGTAGTTACCTAGGGTTGTAAAATATAGTAAAAGGACTGTTATTTGCAGCAGCATGAGCAGCAGAAGCAAGAATCCCTATGTGCATGCTATCACTTGATATGACCGACGAAGACAGAGCGGGCTGCTGCCTGTTAGCGTGCCTTATGCCTAAAAGAAGCTGTGACTTTTCATCTCTATAATGCATCAATGTATATACCATCAGGATTTGTCTCAACATTAATTTAGGTGAGTTACAAACTGATGATTTTATAACCTTATAAACAGCACCGAGTCACCGGCGAAGACTCGTTTTGTGCTAACAAAAACACTCCACCCAGTGGTCAGAAGGTGTCGTTTTGGTTGGCCTGAAAAAATTTAAGCATTCTCAACCTCATCAAAACAGTAAAATTTATATTCCACGTTCTCACGACAAAATACAAGCAGATGCAGAACCAGAAAATAAACCCTAAACCATCAATGGGAACGTAAAGACGATGAAAATATTAACAGAGATCTTTAACCGACAGAGACAGTAAAGGTGAAAATACGAAAGGGTCCCATACCACGGTAAATATGTCTGAATGTCCATGAATTATCATGCAAATCTCTAGCTACTAGTTCCTGAGCAGGGGGTTGCATCGAGTAGTCCTATAATCAAGAATATTCAATATGAGCTTATAATAAATATACACACAAAAACAATCATAAGTTTAAATTAAAGGTTGCATTACAACCTCAAATCACATGAGATGTTAATTATTAACAAAAATGTACTGGTGTAGCCGAAAGGATACCAATCGTAGTCGAGTTCATACAACCTAAACACCTAGTATTTATACAAGTTGCTAACCGAAGATTAACTCCTTCACTCCAGCAGCCAGTTCCGAACAAGCCACACTTGTTGATCCTTTATACCAACCATCACCTCCCTACGGCTACTTAAGCCGACAAACTCATAATAACTAATTTTCGACATTTATCCCTACATTGCGCACATAACTATATGCAAATACGTGCACACAAACATTTGCTGGTCAGGCAAATTCATTAAATTGCCTCGACCTCCCCACCCCCTTCCCCTTCCTCCACAGCTCTGTGTGTGTATGTGAACCCACTCGATTGGAGAAGAGAAGCTACAATTACAAAAGAATTCCCTAGATTTTAAGAGAAGCCATAATTACAAAAGAATTTCCTATCCAAAAACGTTTCATCGGTCACTAATAGATTTTAGGAGACTGAATGGGCTAGTATGAGTGTGTAGGTCATACCTATGCTATTTGTAACATCTACGAATATCACAGGAAGTAACCATCCTGCCCTCCTCAGACATCCACGGTCCAAAAAGCCAGCAAGTCCAAACACTTTGCGAGGATGTGGAGTTCTTCATCCCGGTGTTACGACGTATATTTTTCCTTGTGTCTTATCTCTTTTGTTCTTCATGTTCTTCATCTAGATAGAGTGTGTGAATTGTGCGATCCCAACACAAAGGTCCCGAAAAACTATCTCAGACTGCCAAAGCAACTATGATCTGGACTTTCCAAAGCCTTCTTACACACCCTACACATGTGGCCCAACATCACCCATGGGTGATCGGCGAACCAAAACATGACCTTAAGAATCCAACCTTCCAACAATCATACCAGAAGAGAATCCATGACCCATCCCTAACAATGAACCTTACAAAGCTCGAGATTTTGGAATACCCCAAAGCAATAGAAATTTATTTTTGAACATAACATCTAAACAGACAGACAGAATGTTACAGGAGAACAATCAATAACATATCCTTAAACCAACATATTAAATGGAAGTAATATTAAAGAATACGAGATGTGATGCGCACTAATGGGGGAAAAATCTTCTCAGCTGCACGACGAGGCACAGAAAATCCACCGTGAGTGCTAGTGTCACTAGCTGTTAGAGTTTTGCAGAAGAACTCAGCAGGCTGCCTGTTTTGCTTGAGGCCAATATCAGATGCCAATAAAGCTTCTTTTTCATACTGCAAAACAGAATATTGTATTAACAACCAAATTATTTGAATGTATAAATGAATCGAACACTTATTGAGTGGCTAACCTACTTTATTCACTGGTTGAAGGGTCATTTGTGCATACACTTCATCAGTTTCAGGATCAGCCTGGTTCAGAACACAAAATAACCATCTCATATTGAGCTCACAAATTTATTTGCACCTCTAAACATGTAGTAGTTCAATTTAAGAGATTTGATTAGCTGTATGGGCCATAGAATCCCTCATACGTGTAATATGACATTATGGAGCATGCACACCAACTTTGAAGGAAGGTTAGGGTAGTTTGGAATGAAATCAGTCTCCTTATTCATGGATGCTGCAACCTGAAAGGTTTAAAAAAGAATCCATCACAAACCACTATCCATCCATATGTTCACATAAATTGAATCATGAAGTACATACTTGTTCACTGTGGCCTTGAGGGAAGTAAACCACAAGACTTCCAACTGGCGGTAACGAAACAAGAGGTCCAGCACAAGCATGCCATAACTCAGAATTAATATTCTTCCTTTCACCTGTTCCTTTCAGACAAACAAACAGGCATCACAACTAAATACTACTAAAGGTTTTAACAAATCTCATGATCTAAGAGCTTAATTAAGCAGATTTTTAGTATGTCAGAAATATACACAACTTCAGAATCTCTCAACAATCGTGTTCTTAAAGAACATTATAGGGAAGATAAGTTACCTTCTCCAGAATTGGGGACAAACCCATTTGGGGGAGCTTTCATACTGTAGGATATAACCCACAAATCCAAAGGAAATCTGATCACTAGCTCCGTAAAGGCAAGAACACACCCATGCCAGTCCCGGCGCCTCTGGAAACAACAACAGGGTTCCCTGAAGGAAAAGAAGCGAAGAAGGCGAGGTAGAGCGGAGGAACCCCAAAGGGAATATAGTGATCCAGTTTGGGTTGTGAAGAAAAAAGAGAAAGAAAAGTGGATAGCGAAACTGTCGAGGGGATGAAGGTGGTGATGACACAGACTTGACTCCGGGAAATCGAAGGCCTAAGATAAAGCTTGAAGCTAAATAGCTTAAAGGTTTGAGAAGAAGAGAGAAAGGGGGACAGAAACCGACATGAAATGGAAGAATGGTAGACAATAGAAATAAAAAAGATTTTTAAGTCTTTATGTTATTAATTACTCCACAAATAAAAGAAAGGGAATGATTGATAAGATGAATAATGCAAGGGAGTTGGAACTTTTGACAACGCCGCTTGCATAGTGAGTGCTGGGCTTGGGCGTGGGCGTGGGCGTGGGCGTGGGCGTGGCCTTACGCTCTCCGCCCTCGCCATGACTGCTGGGCCACCCCGCACTATGGAATGTTCAACAAACCATTTTCTGTTTTCGGCACGAATCTGAAAACAAGACACAAAAAGCTTTCACTTTTGGGTTGTAGGAAAACAGAGTAAAATAGCCGCAAAAACAGGAGCTTTGCACATGGGTCGTCGCCATTTATTTAAAGATGTAATTGTGGGCGCCATGGCTTTGACCTCATTCACTAAAACCTGACCCTTGATCATGCCCTCGCTTAAAGATGACGCTGATAAGTGAACCACTAAGAGGTCAGGATCCAGGTGATATTCAACCACATCTTTAAATGTGGTGCGAAACTTGGTTTTTTAACATGCATCCACTTACCGTACAAAGGATGATGTGCGGTGATGGATGGCCGCCCTTTTGTTGCACCATTAAAAGGTGGGGTTCAATCAATTAATTAATTTGCTTTCCCTTTCTTCCTCAACTGGATAACACACATGGGTTTTACAACACACCACCGCACCCCTAGCCACCGCCTTAGCTATCAAACGACTGACCTCAATGTCTCATCATGTCCAAAATTTAAAATTTGGATTCAGCACCTGATGACTCGACATTTTACTGTTCCTACCTATTATTCTAATAGAGTACGGTTAGCATATTTTGTTCGAAGTTGCACTGTGTTTTTCAGTGACTCTCCACAATGGTATGATATTGTCCCCTTTGAGCATAAGTTCTCATGACTTTGCTTTAGGTTTCCCCAAAAGGCCTCACACCAACGGAGAGAGTATTGTTTGTTTATAAACGCATGATCATTCCCTAAATTAGCCGATGAGACTGATGTGGGGTTTACATAATCCAACAAGGGATATTAATCTTAATTCTTAAAAGCAACAAGTAAGTAACATGGTCATATTGCGGAGGCAGAAAAATGCGTAGATAATTAAATGTTGAATCTAGATTTCAAATCTTAAGCTGAATCTTAGGTATAAGATGTTACAAGTGGTACGAAATACATATACATGAAGGAAGAAGCACGTTAATGAATATATAGTTTAGTGACATTATGTGATATTATATTATATTATATTATGTGCATGTGTTGATGTCAAGAAACAATGAAAAGAGTAGGAAGTGGCTGATAAGAAGTTAGAGACCCGAGATTCTCGGAACAAATGGCTGTTTTTGGACACATAATGGTCGGAATGGTGGAAGTGCATAGTTTTTGGTTTTTGGGTTTTGGCTTGCAGTGGGTGCAGAGCTGTCACAGCTCATGGTAGCAAGCTAGCTTCACGCGCAAGTCCTTGACAGCGCAAATAGCGAGCACGCACATGAAACAAATGAGCTATCTTTACATACAACCACAAGGCAGTGGAGGAACGCCCACAACTCCGCTTAATCAATCTTCAACTCTACAACACCAAAAAGGCCGATACTGTCTATATTGTCTTTTTTGGCTTTTTCCTTTCGGACTTCCCATCACGTTTTCTAGAGAAAGGTTTCCACACCCGCCCGATGTCTGGCTCACCCACTCGGTGTCCCATCACGTTTGCTAGAGAGGCTTCTGGGCTAGTGTAACGGTCCAAGCCCACTCTTACAGGATAGCTAGTGTAACGGCCCAACTCCACTCTTACTGGATATAGTCCTCTTTGGACTTTCCCTTTCAGGCTTCTCTTCACGTTTGCTAGGCATTTATTAGGGAAAGATTTCCACACACGCTCAGTGTCCCATCAGGTTTCCACCCCCGGTGTTTGTCTAATATCATTTGTAATGGCCCTCTTTGGACTTTCCCTTTCAAGCTTCCAAGGTTTTTAAAACGTGTATGTTAGAAGGTTTCCACACCCTTAATGGTATTTCGTTCTCCTCTACAATCCAACGATGATTCACAGCTAGGGCTTAAAAAAAAACAAAATTTATCTATGGATGGGTATGGGTAGAAAATTTAAATAATTTTTTAATATATAATTAATTAATGAATTGAAATTTAAAACGTATACATTTATTATGGAACACTACCTTCCAAAAAATTTAATAGAGTTAAAAAAAAAAAAGCGGTAAAAAAAGCGTTTCTCCCGTAAATAATAGAGTTTCATTTCAATAAGTAATAAATATTTAAATATTATTAGGAGAAATGGTATTTTTTAGTTACGCAGATAAGGCGAAGTTAAATGTATTAGTTTCTGTATTTTGTTGAAGAATATATACAATAGCGGCAGTATAAATTAGTTTAAAAAATCGAGAGTGAAGAAAAGGGAAAAGAGAGAACACTTCCACTTTTCTGTGGAGCTACTCAGGTTGCGGAAACTGTCGTCTCAAGCGTCGACTTCCTCTTCTGCAGAGATCGAATGCGTCATCGTTTCCGCCATTCTCACCCCCTCTTCTTACTCCTCCCCACATCCTCCTTTTGATCTTCCATCACTCGCTGTTTCGACTGTTCTTCTAATCCATTCCACCTTCTCTGAATCTGCACGCTCCAGATCACCTTCCTTTTCAAGCTCTTTCTCCTGTGAACCCCTTTTCTACTTGCTCTTCTTATCCGCATATACCAGGTTTTGGATTCAACCCTCCCCTCCATGGCTGCATCCTCTCTTGTTTCTCCACTCTTCTCTGGACTTTTGTCCGCTTGCATGTCTGTCAACTGCCGAAGAAATCATTCCTTTGATTCCTCCATGTTTTCTTCTTCTAAGATTATCGAAACATGTGCTGGAAGACGGAAGTTTAAATCAAAATGCAGCAGTAGAAGCTCTCAAAGTCACGGCACAGAAATTTTTTCGTCCTGTGGATCCAAGATGATGCAGGGACTTACGAGCTCCTGCATTCTGTTCAAGCCACAAAGTAGAAATTGGAATTGCCTGCCAAAACGCAGGGCTGCTCATTCGGGTATAAACGCTTCTCTTCGTATAAAAGTTGTTTTCTCTATTGAAGTTCTTGCAGTTCAATTCATTATTATTTTGTTTTAATCCATATTATCAAATTCATTAGATGTAATTTCGTTACATTCATACGATACGGTTCTAATCTGAGGAATGCCTATGCTGATGCTGCTTGATTGTATAGAATTAGTGAAGTTTCTTGCTTTTAAGATGCAAAAACGTCATGGATAATGACTTTTCAAAACTTTAGGCGAGGCCATGTCCATAGCTGTACAACCTGCTGAAGAAATAACAGTAAAAAAGAAACATGGTACCAGGCAAAGGCGAATAGTTGTCACTGGAATGGGTGTGGTGACTCCACTGGGTCACGATGCAGATCTCTTCTATAGTAGTTTGCTCGAGGGTATCAGTGGCATAACAGAGATCGAGTCATTTGATTGTGACCAATTTCCCACGGTAGATATATCTTTCTTTTCCCACATGCCGTTTCCTTTGTGTTCACCTTTATATTTTATTTTCTCAGAGAATTGCTGGAGAGATAAAGAGCTTCTCAACTGATGGATGGGTTGCTCCAAAACTTTCTAAGAAGATGGATAAGTTCATGCTTTACTTGCTTACTGCCGGCAAGAAAGCCCTTGCGGATGGAGGAATTACAGAAGATGTAATGGATGAGTTAAATAAAGCTAAATGTGGAGTGTTGATCGGTTCAGCAATGGGTGGCATGAAGGTAACCTTGACTGAATGAGTACTTGAGTATGAATGTACTATGTAGCCCGTAATGTAGATTGATGTAGTATGACAATCCATCCCAAAGTATAGAAGTATCCACTTCAGATTATGATACAAATCCTTGCAATTGTTTTCTGTGGATTAATATTAGTTAAGGTCTTGTTTGATAACCATTTGGTTTTTGGTTTTTGGTTTTTGGTTTTAGAATCTTAAGCCTATAAATATTACTTCCACCTATGGGTTTCCTTGCTTTATTATCTACTTTTTACTTCTATTTTTAAAAAACCAAGCTATGGGTTTACTTGCTTTGTTATCAACTTTTTACTTCTATTTTCAAAAAACCAAGCTAAGTTAAGAAAACTTGTTTTTGTTTTTAGAATTTGGCTAAGAATTCAAGTGTTTCTTTAACACAAAGAGCAAACCCGTTGTAGAGAAACTGGGAGAAAACAAACTTAATTTTCTAAAATTAAGAACCAAAAACTAAATGATTATGAAACGGGGCCTAAATGTTTTAGAGTTCAATATCTAAAGTTAATTTGATATGTTCTTCATTGTTTAATACTCCTGTTTAATATATATATGTCACATATCAAAAGACAAATCATTTATTACTTCCAGGACCAAGATGATTTTCTCATTTTGATTTCCTCCTAGTAATGTTGGGAAAACTGAAACTAAGTTGGATTTTGGATGATTTCTGCATAATGTTGAGATGCAAGGATGACCAAAAATGAAATATTTTTTGTGCAAGTTTTGTCATGGTTTTCTTTTGGAAGTTGACATTAGAGAGCAATAAAAGGAAATTAGTTCAAGTAGCATTTGGAGTATATCACTTTTCTGGCCTCATTGGCATTGTGATGAAGTAAATTAGTGCTCTCTCTATCTCTCTCCCACCTCGTTCTAAAAAATTGCAAACCTTCTAGTTTTGTGTAGGCTAGTTCTCTGGTTGTTCAGTCAATTCTTTTTGACTTCTTACTAGCATGAAATGTTGTTTTCTATGGAAGAACTGAAGAAATTAGTTTCCTAACTTGAGTAGAGGCACCACTCAGATGATTCATTCTAAGGAATTGATGCACTCGGTTTTCCATTTTAATTGGTGGACAGGTTTTTTATGATGCAATAGAGGCTTTACGGATTTCATACAGGAAGATGAATCCTTTCTGTGTACCCTTTGCAACAACGAATATGGGTTCTGCCATGCTTGCAGCGGACTTGGTTAGTATGATTTTTACGACAATCCTTGCTAATGCAATTTGATTCT